ATATTTATGTTTGTGGTTGTAATGTGACAAAATATGGAAAAGTTCAAGGGGTATGAATACTTTTGCAAACCACTGTATGTCCCATGCCTTGAGTCTAAACATGTATTCAGGGATCTTTTCTTGGGACCAGATAGGTCCATATCTATTTGGATGGAGTTGAAACGCCTTTTTAACGAGTGAAATGCTCAATTGGGTCAGGTGACTGACTTAGCCATTCAATAAAATTCCACTACTTTGCTTTAATAAACTCTTGGGTTGTTTAGGCTTTATTTTTTGGGCCATTGGCACTGGCATAGCATTAGGATTGTGAAATGCCGACCAATCAGTTTGGCTGCATTTGGCTGGATTTGAGCACACAGTATGTCTCTGAAGATACTAGTGACCCAGTGCCATGGGCAGCCATGCATGCCCAAGCCATCACACTGCGTTCACCGTGTTTCACAGCTGATCATGAGCTGTACCACACCGTCACCATACGTTTTTCTTGCCGTCATTCTGCAAGAGGTTTATCTTGGTTTCATCTGTCCCAAGAATGTTCTTCCAGAACTGTGCTGGCTTTATAGCAAAGCCTAGCCTTTTTATTCTTGAGGATCATGAGTGGCTTGCAGCGTGCAATGAACCCTCTTTATTTACTTTCATGCAGTTTTCTCTTTATTGTAGTTTTGTATTTATTTAGATTTCTGTCATTTTGAACGTGACTAGGTCATCGGGGGGGGGGGGGGGGCTACGCATTTGGTTGTTTTCTGTTGCAGCCTTGTTAAAGTCTCCCAGTCTAATCACTTTGTCTTAGATTTAATTCCAAGCAGTCTCACAGCCTTTTTAGCTTTGATGAATACTTTCAAAGATGTCAATGTTCAGTTGTTTTATCTTATTTTTTAAAATTGGATTTTAAGCTTATTGACCGTCCTTGAAGCTGAGCCTTTGCTGCTGCTGGAAACAGCCAGGTTTAAACACTCCACCCATTCTGATATGGTTCAGCGACTGGGTCGAGCTCTAATCAATGAGAACTTCTAAAAGATCCTTATTGTGCCCTTCAGGGTCAGAGCTGTATGTATTAATAGTTGGTTCATCAGTACAAAACAGGACTATAATATGAGTTGTTTAAATGTCATCATATAATTATATTAAGAGCACTTCTCAGAAAGCACTGCTTTCCTTCAACAGCTACATCATAAGTGGTATTCTCGGCCATTTTCTAACACTTGGGATGAGAATCTAAGCCTGACTTGGTAACAAGGGTTTGACATGAGGACATTTTCCAGCAGACCTCTTGACAGAAACAAGTTGTCCTCCAAAATATATGGTTGTCCGCAACCTTTTTAATGGTGAAATAGGCAAAAAAAAAAAAAAAAATCTCAAGAAAAATGTACTTTAACCCTCTAGTACTGTTACCATCAGCCTATTTTAGCCTAAGTACAATGAGACACATTCAATTGGTTAATGAAAATGTAAAGCAATAACAACATGATGCACATTGTTTTATTTTCCTACCTTTTTCATCTCATGTGAATGCCTCACACAGCCTCATTTTACATAAATGTGCATTTTCACTCATTTTCACCCAAATGATTGCATAAAAAACTATGAATCATATTCAGTGGTTAGTAAATATTTTTAAAGTCTTTAAATAATATGTTATTAAATATGTAGGAAATTACAAAAAAAACACATGTTGAGGCAAAATTGTACCAAAACAGAATATCATAAGATGATATACAAAGTTGAACAAACTGTAAAAATGATTACATCGTTTATTTTTATTTTGTTCATATTTGTGTTTTATGATTGTGGAGCAACAGCAACAGATGGATATGGAAATGTCTTTTTATCAAATTGGAAACGTGCAATGCATGGAAAATAAATCTGTTTGTGTTTGGTTCAAGAAATTGATGATTAAAATAAATATATATTCTTATCATATGGTGCAATGTTGCCTCGAGGCAACAAACTTTAATCAAATCAAAAAATAAAATAAATGAGTGGGTTGAATAAATAAAGGGTCTTGACACCTTAAACACTCGTATGTTGGAAATAATTGTCCCAGCTCTGTTCTCTTGCTTGTGTAGTGGAAARGTGGACCATCATTGCACCACTGTGATCAGCATGCTTCCGTCTAAGACGTTTTTAAAACTGATYTAAAAAGGATGCCGTGTAGCGGGAAATGTTTCACAACTTGTTGCAGTTTTCACCCTGCAGTTTAGGACCACCCTGCTGTGTGTAATATTTAACCTGAACATGAGTAATTCATGCTTTAGTCAAGTATTTATGGAACCAGTTGGAAAACCCTGACATTTAAACCTTCTTACTTTCTTTCTTTTTTTCTTTTCCTACCCAGTGGATCTGCTCATGTTGATGTTGGGTTTTAACTCCTGCGAAGCGCTTCAGTTTTTCCTGATTCATCTCCATTTGATAACTTTACCTGACCTCATCAACCAAATCACCCTCCTGCTTTTAAGAGTCTTTGAAACCTGCTGTGAAGAAGTCAGGAAACTTTAGCTGTTTGATTTGAGCAGCAGGATTCTTGCCTTTTTTTTCCAGTTTAGTGGGTGAAGCCGAGGTTTCAGGTTGTCTTGTACAACCACAGTGAGGTTCTGTGACCTGAGCTTTCCACAAGGTTTAACTGTTGGTGTGTTGCTCCTTGTTTTTGCACATTATTGATKAAAATGACCTTTGTATAGTTGTCAAAGTGCATTCAGATTAAAAACCAAATGCGTTTCGACAGCCACCTTTTTGATATTCTTGTATCAAATAGTTGTAGATAGTTTTTGGTCAAACCTCAAAAATTGCGAGATCTTACACAGACTGTTAATGCCTAAAGTATGTATTGAGGAAGACACTCAGCTACTGCCACACTAAAATTTAGCTCTATAGTTGTGAAACTGACTGAATTCAAGACATTTTTGTGTTTGCTAAGAATYATTAGCTGTGGCTGCCATCTTAAGTCACAGAAACTTGTTTACACTAGATGTGCTTTAAAAAAATACAAAGTAAATAATTACGATACGAAAGCAGACCGTGTTCTCGCATGTGTGCTGAGGACCTGATGAGCAAACCCTGATCGACGACCAGGGGTATGAATGTAACACAGAAAGCAGATGCTAAGGCTGTATCTGATGTAATCTCCCCCCCGCTGCGTTGGATTGATTCTGCTATTCCATTGCCGGGTGGGCGAGCAGCCCTGCCAGGCGAGCCACGGCTGGAAATGGAGCGTGGTTCCGCCGCGGCGTAGGGGGGCGAGCCCACAGGAGCTGTCACACTTTGGTGTTARGTAGGTTAAAGCTGTTCACAGAAGCAACACACACAGGAGCTCCTTCACACAAAGACGTCAACATTCAAGAACAATATACTACGGTTTGGCTGAAACATGGATGCATTATGATGAATTTTAATGAAGCTTTCTTGTGTGTCTGATCAGAAACTGGCTCAGCCATTTCCGCCTCTTGTATCGGGTTGGGAAACTCGCTCACGCCACCTGCAGGCCAGGCGGGCAAYCCTGTCCCAGGTTATAATGGTAAGYTAAAAAGATGCTGAATAATTTTTAAATGTTTTCAATTAATGTAACTGTRATCGTATTTTCAATTTGACTAATAACTGCATGTCCTTTTTTTGTTTTTCTTTAGTCACAGTGATCAACGACGACATGCAGGAGGTAAAACCCAGAACTCTTGGAAATATTGTGGTCAGGTAAGCAGACACGGGAAATGATTCGGGAATCTGTTGATYGGYGGGGGYAAATGTAGCCGGGAGGACTTTTGATGAAAGCTGCTCCAAAGCTCCCCTCCAGTCTGCGATCTGTCTGTTATCACTCCCCAGCTCCACTTCCCWGTTCTTTCTAAATGCTAGTAATGACTCGGTGCTGAGGGGAGGTGGGGGGATTTCCAATCTACAGTGTATGGAGGAAGCTGCTACAGACAGGAACAGCTGTGTTTTGTTCTTWCCTCGTTTTGGAATCAAGTCTGTATGAGTCCTTCTAGTTCATTCGAAAAAATGTTGTCTTCTTTGCCAAGTTGTTCCAAAATATGCAGATTGAGATCAGAGGCAACAGAACTTGTTGGAATGGTGCCTTGATTTTATTTAAAGGGGACACATCAGGCAAAATCCACGTTTTTAGCCGTTRAGTGCATTTTGTGTACTAATCTCTAGGAGTGCAGGAAATATGAATTCAGTGGGGTGTGAAGCATCTCGTTTGGATTTAAAGAGACAGCCTCACAGCGAGTTGATCTGAGACACGTCAGAAAAGGGGTGGGGCTTGTGGAGTTACAATAAGAAGGAGTTCAGACCAAAGTATTGCAGTTCTACTTTATAATGACCCCAASTGAAGGATTTAATGTGAAAAAGAAGGATTTAAAGGGGACCTATTATGCAAAATTCACTTTTTAAAGTTTTTTTTTACTCAACATTGGGTACGTACTTCTTTAAAAAACAGTCCTAGGACCAAAAAAATGCACCCAGGGGCATATTTACTGTAAGTAAATGTATTTTTTATGTATATTAACGACAAGTTTTATACTTGCGTCATTTTGTGATGTCACAAGCTGTACGACAACCCACCGGAACCTGCGTTCAGCCCCTCACCCAGGTGAAGCTCCACCTCCTCACAATAAAACGCCGTCACGGTTGTTGTTGTGCAATGCGCAGCTCATTTCATAACAAGCCTCCAACAGGGCAATGGGTAGAGTGTTGGGCCAGAGAGTGGGAAACTAGGGTTTGTTCTGAGATATTTTGACTGCTGCTGCTCCCTGCTCTGGTAACAGCATGCAGAGTGAGCGCAGAGCAGAGGAGGGGGAGAAAAAGAAGAAGCTGCGACCACGACTCTGCCTCTGGGTCTCACTCAGGGTATACAGTTGTTCAACGGAGCTTCTGCTATCATTAGCCATGCTAACGTAAATGCTGGCTTTGGAGGGCGGAGTTAATGTCAACAGATTTTTGGAGGGCYTTACCAACAGAGCTCATTAACATAAACAGCTCTTCTGAACTGAAGTCAGAGCAGGCAGAACTAGAAAATGGGAAATTTTATAATCTGAGAATTATGTTGTGCATTAAATTGAATGAACATGGTCTGGATAGCCCACAGACATACCATAAACATTTCTAGGACCCATAAWTGGTCTCCTTTAACAGCAGATGTCTCCTTTAAAGCTGCAAAACWATAAGCAAAAGTCAATTTTTAATAAAATACACAATGAAGAAATCTTACAGTGCTCACATTGAGTGGTTGGGACAGTGTTAAAGGTCCTGAATCCCTTTCAGTAGTTAGAAAATGAAAGGATAGTAAAAATGTGCTTCTTTAGTTTAAAGCTGCTAAGAAATGGTTGCAACAGGTTTTAACTAGAAAGTAATAACACTACATGATTCAACATTGTTGTTTCCTGTTATTTATGGAAAGCTTTAAACTTGTCCAACACTGCCCCCTAACCATTCTTCACTGCATTACGTCCACATTGTCAGCTTTATGTTGATGTATGTTCATGAGCAGCTTAAATAAAAAGGCACTGTGCATTTAATGCACTTGTTTTTTTTTTTTTCATAGGAAAAACTATTTCTTGTTTTTTGATATTCTGTCATCAGTAGAGCTTTTCTTTTAAAAACTTAATACAAATTTGTCATTTTCCCTCTCCTCAAGACTACCTTTACCACCTGGTGCAGCATTGTCTCTGTGGCAAAACCAGGATCTATATAAAGAGCTCTACTTCACCAAGTTTCCAGTAAGTCGGTTTAACTTCCTCACAAAACAATTTGATTTAATAAAAGCTAARATTTTCACATTGTTATAAAATGTGTAGGATCATTTTTGCTTCCCACTGGAACAGGGGCAATTTGTGGGAAAAGGCGGACCTCTAGTGTTTAAATCTGAATATTGCAGAACTGCTTTTTCACATTCTAATTTAGTTTCCTCAAAGAAATCTGATCTGCATCATTGTGCTCTTTCCTTTATTACAGGGGTATTACGACACCATGGACGCAGGGTTTCTGGATGACGAGGGTTTCCTCTACATCATGTCCCGGTCTGATGATGTCATCAACGTGGCAGGGCACAGGCTGTCTGCTGGCGCTTTAGAGGAAGTAGGAGAAGAACTCACAGGCGATGTGACCCAAAGGTTTTTTTTCTTTGTTGTGGCAAACCTAAAGCCTGTTTGTGTGTCTTCCAGTCGGTGCTGCTGCACTCTGCAGTGGGGGACTGCGCCGTGGTGGGTCTGGAGGACAAACTGAAGGGTCACGTTCCTCTGGCGCTGTGTGTGCTTAAGAACGGTGAGGAGTAAAAGTGAAAACACACCCGATGGAACCGAAACTCSCTCTCCTCGGCTGAAGGATAAGATCTGCCCGTTTGCGTCGTTATGTTTCAGGTGTGGAGYAGACGAAAGAGGAAATCACAAAGGAGATCGTCAAGCTTGTGAGAGACACAGTTGGACCAGTGGCCGCCTTTAAGAATGTGCTTTTTGTTCATGGATTACCAAAAACACGTTCTGGCAAGATTCCTCGCTCTTCTTTGGCCAATCTAGTCAATGGCAAACCTTACAAGGTAGAATGAAACTCTGGAACAGTTTAAGTTAAGCATCATGTATCTTTAATGGTCCTGCTCTCATTAGTCATTGACTTAATTATGTTGAAGTTCACATAGATAAATGAGTTAAAGAGGTGAGTATATCTCAATATATAATTCTAGTATAACTAAGTATAGTTGAAATTCTGGATTTTACTAGCCTGGCCTTTGCCTTCCTACACAGTTCCATTCAATTCTAGTTTCCCTTCACTGCTCCATCTGGGACTTCTCTCAAAGAATTTCTTTGAGAGCATTTTGTTCGGGCCAATCAGCAAACAGAACGTCAATTTTCTGCGCAGTGTCTGCTTGTAGTTTATTTTACCTGGGCCAATCAGAGAACAGAACGTCAATTTTCTGCGCAGTGTCTGCTTGTAGTTTATTTTACCTGGGCCAATCAGCAAACAGAAGGCGGAGTTTGAATGACGTCGATTTTCTGCAAAGTATCTGCTAGTTAGTTTAGCATACGGCAGTGGAGAAGTGAATGAAGCCAGTCCGTGTTGATAAGGCTTCCAAATTAAATTAAATCTGTCTGACAAAGCAGCAGCTCTCATTTACAGTCGTCTCGTTCAGCTCGGTACTTCTCTCAGTAGGGTTGTTTATAGCGCACGCAATTTCCGGTTAGCTTCTTAGCTTAGCCTCCTTCACAGCCAACCGATCCAGTCATTTTAAACTTCAGCAGAAGCCACGCCTCCAGCAAGAATCACTTCTCCATAGCTGAGACTCCAGACCCTCGTATGAAGCAAAGTGAAGTACAAGGGTCTGGTTTTTACCAGGCTAGGGTTTTACCAAAAGTTGGTGGAAACTTTAATTTAATACTTGCAGCAAACTAAATAAAACATTCTTAATGCTTCTCTTCACAGATCACTCCAACAATCGAAGACCCAGATGTGTTCAAAGACATTGAGAAGCAAGTAGAAAAGGTTCTGAAACGCCATGCAGCCTGAACCTGCAGGGAGCAGCTGGTCCTTTTGATAAGAGGAGTCTAAAGTTTCACAGAACTTTGTTGATAAGACGTCTAGGCTTTAAAACACTACAGAATGTGTACATCTTAAAGTGCCTATGTCATCAAATTTTTGTAACAATTATTAATGCATTTTTGGAAAGAAAACATTGATAATATGTTGCAAATGAAATTTCACACCATTGAGCTGAACGCTTATAGAGATATTCACATGTGAAGTAACAGGAAGTGATGTCAGAGGGGAATGTCTGCATGTGAACAGAGCTTTAATGGTGACGACACAGGCTGAAGAGAAAATTCTCTTTCTTTAGATTATTTTGAGTCCCTTTCAGAAAGAGACAAGTCATAGTTCAAATAGTGGTTCCATAAACAAAAAAACAGGGTTCCCCTTTGATGTCACTTCCTGTTTCACTTTGGCTGAGTCAAGTTCAAAAGAAAACATGCCAGTTATGTGACCAAATGGGTAAAAACTTGTGTATTATCACTAGTTTGTGAAATTTAAGGATACGTATGTCACAGGCACTTTAAGATAGTAAAAGACAGTAAAAAGTCGCTTGTTGTATTTTAATCAAATTTTAAAAAATGTTTAAATGAACTGCATTAACTAGATACAGAATATAAGTTTGACCACATTAATGTAGGGATTACTAGAACTAGTCATCTTATTTTAAAATATTGCACATCGTCTAACACAGTTTAGACAAATGTTTACCTGTCCATGGTTCAACAGTTATCTATTAACTTAGCTTGACTGATTTTTTATGTTAGCAACCATTATTAAACAAAATGAATCTTGAATGAAAACTAAATTCACTGACAGTTTTTATTGACAATGAAAACGTGTTTGCTCACCACTTTGTTTTGACCAAAGTACAAGAAGTAATAAATTAAAAAAATGGAAACAAAATGATTCCTCTTTCGTGCAAATTGAAGATGTAAAAAAAGAAGAAGAAAAAAAAAGGAGTGTAAGACAGATATCAGAGCTGTACTGTAGGTAACCCTGAAAACTGAAACAAAACGAAACAAAAAAGTTCACTTTTACATTGAATATAAGTCACAGCAAGCAACAGGTTTTTTATGTCATTAAATCACCTCACTTCAACATGGTCATATACACTCTACACACAATGAGCTAAAGCAGTCCGTCCAGTTTCTTCTGCTAACATGGGTGTCTGAAAGGTGGGGGGGAGAAGGCCAGCTCGGCTGTGCTAACGTGTCGCCTAACAAAAACATACAGTACAAGTGACGGGGTCCACAGACGGTGTACTGCTTCTGTAACGCTCTGAGAGAAACGTTGTGTGCAACTTCAGAGGAACTGTCTCTCGTTTCGTCCTTGGCTACTAAAAGTCTGAGTTGATGCGGTTGTATGAAAGTGCTTGTCTCGTTCCAGTGTTGATCCTCCAAAAAAAAAACGCTCCTCCGTTTTTTTTTTTGTTTGTTTTTTTTTTGACGGCGAGTTTGTAAGAAAAGTTAGATTGTGGGTGGCAGAAGGAGCCACCCGAGGGCAGGGTTTTCACATAACAGCCAGAGTTTCTTCCTCAGCACAGATTCATTGTCATAATTATCATCAGCACGATGAAAAAATAAAACCATATGTACAAAATGATCCAGAGGAACAAGGAAATATGGAGACTTTAAAGAGCAGCATATATTATTCTATGGTCCACTAAATAAGGTGGCAAGGACATTTTTTGTTTTGTTTTGTTTTTGCACAAACTCTGAATATCTTTTTTTTATACATAGATGTTTGTGTATATAATAAAAATGGCATATTTATATTATTTTACAGATAGCCTACACATTGTCCTGTAGAAGAATTGCACAGTACATTATGCTCTGAGTTACTTTACATGTAAAAGGTGAGAACGAGGCAGCCTGCAGGACAGTTTAGCACCGGCGCCTGGTGCCCACGTTAACAGGGAGGAAAGCAGAGCTTCTTGGCAGTGCGTGTCATCAGGTTGGTTTTTGTTCCCCAGCAGATGGGCCCGTCCAGCGTCTCCATTCAGAACTGTAGCTGAGGGGGCAGATAGAGGTGTTTAATATGTTTCTAAATGCTTTTAGCCGCAGCGGCATTCTTTGACAGACAATCGACACTCAAGTTAGTTATACAGTATAAAACTAGGTGCCTTTAATGAAAAAAGGTGTATATCTTTGTGTCGAATGAAGCAATTTGGAGGCTGACAGGTTATCTAGTTGAGATCAAATTAATGTGAGAACACTTCAAAACGTCTGCTCGTCTCATTTGGATCCAGCTGGGAGTTGTGTAATACTATTAACCTTCAAGTATTAGCATTATAGCAACTATAGCTCTGCACCTGAAATGTTTAGGTACAGCTAACGACAAGTAGCTTATGCTGAGATGTTGCTGTGAAAAGCATATAGAAATAATTGACACCCTGAAAATACTTGATGATTTTCTGGTTTTTGGGACATTGATTAAGCTAAATAGGAGGATTTATTTTGACCAAAATGGCAGGATGTTAAGAACATTTGAGTTTAGGACCAAAGCTCTTCAGATGTTTTAGTTTTCACCTCAATCCAAGCATTGTATTATGTTCTCTGTATTTGCAACTGCTTGCATCAGTTGGGGGAAAAAATACCGTCAGTTGAAACTAAGGAACCATATTTCAACCCAATGCACTCTGTGGTCCTTGCAGACGTACTAGAACAAATAGGTAATGAATGCAACCGGCTAAAAGGTTTTTGGAAAACAAAAGTGAGAAATTACATCTATGTTTACTCTATAATTGCCTTTAGGGTAATTAACAGCAGTTAAAGACATTGGTTACCGGTACATTGAAAACTGGAAGAAACGTCTAGTAATTGTGAATGGGATGTGTAGCAAAAATTAGTAGGTAATTTGACATTTTTTTCTATTTTTCCCCACAAGAGTCTATATACTGTCATAGATCTTACTGTATATTTCAGGTTTTTAATGTTAGCTACATAGAGCTGAAAATGTTCTTCAGTATGATGCCTTTTAAAGTGAAGAATAACTGTCCTATGTTAGAATGTGACTTCAACTGAAAGGAGGGGCCAATAGTAAATGATTTGAAATGATGTCACCAAGTGTACTAAAATATCTGTGTTTGCTCTGTTGAAATGAAATTCAGTTTTTATTAATGAGTTATTCTGGTGCTGTCCTGTTGAACATGATCAGTTAGAATAATCACTGCTATAACCATTTACTACTTTCATATGCTTGTGTAGATCAGAGTGTCCAATCCTGGTCTGCCCTGCATGTTTTGCTTGTTCCCTGCTCCAACAGGCCTGATTCAGTGATTGGTCTGCGGTCATTCATTCAAATCAGGTGTTGGAGCACAGAAACCTTTTCAAACTCACAGGGTGGTGGCCCTCAAGGACCAAGTTTTGGACACCCCTGGTGTGAAAACCGACGAGTTTAAAACATTTCACCTCATTTGAAAAGTTTTAGACCTGTTCATGGATTGAGACGATTACAAAGTGCTGACCCACACAGCATTTAATGGTTTTTGACAGAACTCAGGATGGACAGGAGTGCTGCAAGTCCTAATGCAGTGGTGGGCAGGGCTAACTAAAACTTTAGCTTTATTAACCCCTTAACAGTTTTTGTTTCACTGGTGGGCAAAAACAGTGTGGTTTCTGCCTTTAAATGTTTCCAGATGCTACTGGGGGGCTTTTATTTTGAAAACTAGTGTGTGAGACAATTTCCTCCAGTTCTTACCTTTAGTTTGACACCCTTACAAAAATAAAATAAAATGTCAAAAGACAAGTAATTTCAGGGGCAACCATTAAGGGGTTAACACCTAAACATCTACACCATATTTCTTAGTTCTAAAGTGGGGCGCCAGCGGCC